ATGTCGATCTAGCGTCTATCAGCGTCCATAGCGTCTACCGGCGTCCGGGATACATTCCTAGGGCTGATGCCGTTTAGAAGCTCTCACTTTTGACTGCCGGCTAATTTACGAAGTTATCACAAGAATGCTGAGTTATGGGCAAAAGTCGGACCACGGACGGGATTCGAACCCGCATCTTCTGCTTACCGGGCAGTTGCGTTCCCTATTACGCTACCGAGGCCACTTTTGACCACTCAGCTCAATGGCTATTTGTGCCATAGCCTTACAGCACTCACACGTTCAACGTGATGAGCCGGTTAGCCGATATCGGCAGTGAACCGCAAGGCTGAAGGCTTTACGAAGTGCTCAGAACACCTAATCCGCTGAAAACTTGTGTACGGGGTTAGTCAACGTCCCGACTACGAGTATGACACTCATTCTTGGCGCTAATGGAGGACACTGCAACTGTTTTCTGGGCTCAGACTTAGCAGAGCGCAGATATTCGTAGTGTTCTCCATTAGCGCCAGCGCTAGGAATGAATGTCATATTCGTAATCAGGATGTTAAGTTGCCTCTGTATACAAGTTTTCAGCGGATTTGGTGACCTAGGCACTTCACAAATGAGCCAGCAGTCAAAACGGAGCCAAACTGATCAGTCCTTTCCTAGTCGCTGACACTGCCGGACACTCGGAATGGACGCTGCCGCAAAAAATGAACGCAGCTTCAAAAGACTCATGGAATGCCGACGATCCCCTTTTATGTGGAGTTCTGAAATTGTCTATGTTCAGCGGCATGTATCATTAGTTTCACTTTGCCGTGACGCGCACGAACTAGCAGTGCTTCCTACCGGGTACTAATTCCTAACATCTGACTCTTCTTGCAATACTTTTTTCACCGTAGCAAGCTAACGGGCCAATCCGATACTCATAGATAATGCCACTGCGGCTGTACTAAAATCTACGACATTCAGCACGAGATACAGCTCTTTTTACAAACATATCAGGAAACGATGTACATAGTTGCCACTTTTGTATATGAACATATTCCATGGAGCAATGAAACACCTAACTCAGCTAGGATTTGTGACAACAATTTTTCAGCGCTATTGGTGCCGTTCGTTCAACAGCTATAATTTATTTCCTATCCGCTACCCTCATCTAGTAGTCTAACATCGCGAGATGAGAATATTTCATTGGCAACTTGCTTCTTCCTGGCCGACCAAATGAATATCACTCTTCCTATCACGTTCATTCGTCTGCCTTATATAGCATGTCTTCCGTTTTCATATAGATACTTTTGAGAGCATTTGAGTATTTTCAGGCGATGCGGACGGTGAAGGTCGGGGTGGCCTGTCGCGACAAACCGCCGACAGGTAGGAAGTTGTCGACGGCTTCAAAAGTCACGGTACAATCAACCCAGAGCCAAGTCTTTGATAATAAAAATCCGACATACACCAGGCATGGGAAAGGATTTTTTAAATCAATTAGTCACTTCATTTGTCATTTATGAATTCCAGGAAAGAGCTGGATGAATACAAGCAATTATTTAACATGTTCGACACAGATGGTTCCGGTGCTATTGGAAACGAGGAGTTGAAACAAGCGATGTTCAGTATCGGTATGCATGCAAATGAGGCAGAAATCGACAATGTGATAAGAGAGGTGGGTTGTGATCCTCAATGTTTTCTCGAGCGTTTCGCAAAAACTGAACTAGACCGCTATGTCATAAAGTGGGGTCAGTTTATTCGAAGATCAACGTACAAAAATACTGAAGCATTTTGTAAAGACGAATAGTTCAATTTGCTTTTTTATGACAGCCACTAATGAACGCTCGCTGCCTCAGTATTTACTTACTACCCATCATGTTTCACATTATAACATGACACCTTACGTGGAAGGAGGATGTGACGGTAGGACTACGCCGTCGCCGACAATTTCAAACACCGCATGGACGATATGCGCGCGCTCGCTATGGTTCTGTTATTGTGACAATGCTACTATTCTTCCTCCGGCATACATCGACAATACGACAATAAGTACAGTCCCTGACACATGAGTGCCGCGGCGTTTTTGCAGCGAGTCCCGTTTACACGTCCTGCGCCTCCGCGCGCGTGTATTGCCTGGACTATGATGACAGTCAGGAATAACAAGGAATTTATTCATTAAGGAACACTTCTATTGAAATCAGGGGCCATCATTATGTGGAAGATCAGGTGCTAAGAGCAAATTAGTCCGTGATGGTAACGCGCCGTTGGGTTTCTATCTTTTCTACTTCTATTTTTTGTTCGGGGATGGAGAAATCCCCTGATTTCAATAGAAGACAATTAATATGAGGAGAGAAACAGCCCAAACTTCTAGCCAGCTAAGCTGGCAGAGCTGAAGAGGGCTTAATTAAAAATGACCATCGGAGTAGTGTGCTGTCCTAGAGTCTCATTTCTCAGTTGAATGTGTAAGAACAATGTGAAACTCCGAAAATTTATTTCAAAAAACTGAAAGAAACCAAAATCTCGAAAGTTTTTTAAAATACATCTTATCTCGCAATATTCCGGTGCGTAGTCCCCACATCCCTGTCCGCCACATCCCTGTTCAATGCTACCACCGTCCCGCGGTAATAGGCGCGGGTGTTACACCATAATGCTGCCAACGGTACTAAACGGCTATCTAAGCAAGTGCGCCGACAGGCAAAATGTGTGTATGGGCGGCTTTCTTGTATCCCTAGCAAGGAACAAGGGAGTAACCTAAGCCACTTCTTCTGCTCAAACAGCTTCAATAGCGCCCCAGTCCTGCGTACATCGGATATGCTCTTCTACGACGTCAGGAGTTGCCTCTACCGATGAGGGAAGCCATTCATCTAATCTCGTCAGGGAATCAGGACGTCATCAGATTAATCGGAAACCCGGAAACTCCCCCACCCAACGACACAAGGACTGCCTCTTCGTCTGCTCGTATAATTGTCGGACTATTGCATCGGATGCTGATCTCCGAAAAAAAAAAACCCGAAACACTTCTGCTGAGGAGTCGTCAGATCAAGTACGATGTTATCGCTATACAAGAAACGAAGGGCAGAACGGAAACCATTAGGAAAACCGATCACAACGAGCTGCTTATTGTTGGAGCCAAGTGTGGATAGGCAGAATGTGGGCGGATGCATTATTCATTAAACCAGGCAGTGGTCCATCTAGTAGACTCTCACAAAATCATCAGTCCACGCATCGCTGTTCTACGCTTGCTGACCAAAGATCAAGGAGCCATATCCATTATCAATGGATATGCACCCACCTCCACCGCCACTGACGAAGAACGCGAAGAATTTTACCAGCTTCTGGAAGATACGATTCAGAATGAGAGAACTTACTACAAGTTATGTGGTTGGTACCTTCAATCCATTATAGGCCACCCGAACACAACCGCGATTGCGACTCCGGCTCGCATGGAACGACAAAACCCGGCGTCGAAGCGGAGAACGGAGAAAGCGCTGCCTTCGGAATTGCCTGATCTGCATGTCGCCTTTATCATGAAACTCTATTTTCGAAGAAGGCCTATGACGCCGATTTGGACCTGCGAAAAGTCCAAATGGAGAAACGCCCACGAGAAATCGATCCACACCCCTAACAATCGACGCTTGCGAGAGCCTATTTCGACGCATCAGTGCTGCCGTCATTCGATACTGGCTCAGACCACCGTTTGATACGTGCCAAAGTATGTCTCAAGAAGAAATTATTCAAGCGCGACAGGCATAGGCCCTTACCTTCGAGGAATCCCTCCTACAACACTGAGCAATTGGGAGCTTGCATTGAGGCTCATAGCTGGCATTTGCTGGACGACCCATCAGAAGATTACAAACATCTGGTCGAAGGTCTGTCCAAGTGCGCAGAGATGCCACGCACTTGGAAAAAGTCACCATCAACAAGGCATGCCGGTTTGCCGTCAGAGAATCACTCCGAGCTTACAGAAGAACTAGACTGCTGAAGGCGGCAGAAACAAGATCGAGCATCAAACGCTGCAAACGAGATCTGAACGATCAAAGAAATGTCATTTCAGCTCTTATGGACAAGGATGGAAGAATACAAACATCTTTAGGAGATCTATCGAGCGAAATCGTTAGTGGTTTCTACACGAATCTCTTCCGCTCTTCCACAAACGTCCCTAGATGCTCTGCACCGCCTGCTGAAGATCCCCCTCCTATTCTGGAAGCGGAAGTTGCAAATGCGATCAAAAAGATGAAGAAAGGAACTGCTCCTGGACCCGATGGCATATCTGCCGATCTTCTTCGTGCAGGAGGAAAGTCCCTTCACACACTCCTCGCAGAGCACTTCAGTCATTACCTGCAATTAGGAATGATTCCAGAACAGTGGAGAGAATCGAGAACAGTTCTTCTGTTCAAAAAAGGTCAGAGAGAGGAGATTGCCAACTACCGACCTATCAGTCTGCTCTCGACGATATATAAGTCGTTCACGAAAATACTGCTCAACCGTATGGAACGCATCTTAGACGACTATCAACCACCAGAGCAGGCCGGCTTCCGCAAGAATTTCTCCTGTATGGACAACATACAGGCAGTAACACAGCTCATAGAGAGGAGCCGCGAGTACCATCTTCCACTTGTCCTCGTCTTTGTGGACTACAAAAAGGCCTTCGACTCAGTGGAGGTTAATGCTGTTCTCAACGCCCTTGTGCGAGCCGGATCACCCTCCTGCCGTACATGTCTGCGCTGCTCTGAACAGAGTCATATACGAACACATCAACAACCTTGCAACATTTTATGTCGCAGCGCCTAAGTTAAAAGTACCCATTGAGAAAGGGGTACGGCAGGGGACACGATATCCCCGAAGTTAACGGCAGCACTACAGTATGCGATGTCAAATCTAAACTGGGATGACAAAGGATACTTGATTGACGGGAAAAGGATAAGCAACCTCCGTTTTGCAGATGATATCGTTCTGATATCCGATAACACAGTCGAAATGGAAGAGATGGTAAACGAGCTCGACATGATTGGTCAGAAGATTGGCTTGGAAATGAATATGTCCAAAACGAAAATGATGGTGAACCACTGGTGTGATGCGGGAACCGTGAAATCTGGCAGGGACGTCCTTGCTCTGAAAGAGTGGATTCCTACGTGTATCTGGGAAGAGAGCTAAACATGCTGAACAACATCTCTGCTGAAATAAGCCGCAGGAAGGCGTGAAGCATGGGCAGCTTTTGGAACGATTCGTGAAGTTAACGGATCTGAAATAACGGACCCTAAGCCTAAGAGCCCTCGATGATTTGAACGCTCACGGTTCCTACCAGCGATGTGTTACGCGGACCGAAACATGGCCTTCTCGAAACAGGACATATCGACCAAGGCAATGCAAACTACGCATCGTGCACTGGAGAGATGTCTTTTGAAGGTCGGCCGCCGCCAGCAATGGCAACAAGGTCTACGAAGTACAGACCTAAGGGAGCGGTCGAGATTGAAAGATCCGCTGCAGTATATGGCGCAGTGCAAACACCGCTGGGCTGGTCACTTGCTCCGCCGCAATGATGACAGATGGAGTCTCCGCATCACAGAATGGCTCCCAAGGAACGCAAAACGGCCTCTGGGACGACCACCAACGCGTTGGTCCGACTCGTTTTTGAAATATTTCCACCAGAACCGCGCGCGGTCCACCACATTGGATGCAAGTCGCCAGAAATCGTGCGTTATTGGTCCCCACTGAAGATCAAGCCAGTTGAAGGACCATCAAAGTAAAGTAAGTAGTAAGGTCCCCACATTTGTCCCGGACAACAGGCGCCTGCGAGTGCTAACTGCACCGAACTATTGCAAATAATATGTGATTTTTGATATAAAAAAAACTTTCCGGGACTGGTTCGGTATCGCGGTACTGCCCGGCGTTGAAAACAACAGTTATCAGACATATTACAGCTTGAAATTGTAAAAGCCTTCAGCCTCGGCTTCACTGCCCGATATCGGCTAACCGGTCATCCACGTTGAAACGTATCGAGTGCGCCTGCCTAAGCTACTGGCACACAATTAGCGCACATTGAGCTGAGTCGTCAAAGAGTGGGCGGGGCCAACCTCTCGGTAGCGTAATAGGGAACGCAACTCCCGGTAAGCAGAAGATGCGGGTTCGAATCCCGTCCGTGGTCCGACTTTTGCCCATAACTCAGCATTCTTGTGATAACTTTCCGGGACTGTTGGTGTCTTTCGAGTTTTTTTGAAATAAATTCTTGGAGTTTCACATTGTTACCACACATTCAGATAAAAATTACCAGTGGTGTGCGCAGTTACCGTTGTATGGACGTATATTATTGAAAGTGAATGAAAAATCTTTGATGAACACCTTACTTCAAGCCACAAAGAATGTAGGGTAAGGAAAACATGTTGAGCATATATTCAACGATAATCATTCACGAACGCATCCTCAGCTAGGAAGAAATTGATATACAAAATGTGAAAGGCGATACACGCGTACACGGGAGCATGCGCATGTATTGCTGACAATTCACGCGGCCTTCAATGTGTTAAGAGTATGGTGCCGAGAAGCCGGAGAGGTTATGTGCAAGAAAATATCAAGGACACTACTATGGCGCACTCAACGGATAAATTTTGAAAACCAGCTAGTGAGGTATGCACCTCGCCCAAGAAGAACAGCATCCCTGCTTCCATCAATGTTTTCTTCATAGGTACAATTTCCTAATGATATCAGCTACCCAAAAATTCTTCTGTGCACATTGAAGAGAAATGCTGCTGTGTGAGAGAGAACCCTACTGAGGTCATTTAGCTTAGAAGTGGAAGGTTCTGTGAAGACTGAAAAGCAACTCATAGTACTTTACAAGTTTTTCCTCTTAGGCTAAAGTGGTGGAGCTTCGTGGAGTTGGGACTGCACCCGAGCAGAGACCAGAACACGTCGTACATTGGGAATCTCAACGAGGGGGTTACACGTGGTCGCTGGAGACGGGGGAGGGGGGGGTGGTAGAAAAAATATTTCCGATTGTTGACTTTCCTCAGTTTTTACCGTTCCACGTGGGCTATACCTAGCCCCTTTCCGCTTTTTGAGAAAAAAAGCTGGGAAACTTTAGAAAAAAGTTCCGGAGTGGGGAAAATTTAGGAAGATGGTGATCAATATGAGAAATGGGGTCTGGGGGGGGGATCGTATTGTGTAATAGCAACGGCAGGACGTGTCCCAATCGAGATACGGAAGAGTACTCACTCTACAGCAGCAGCCTTGTCTCTCATGCGCTCAGAATCTGTTTCAAAAAAAACCGCGACCATAACTTCTACAAAGAGAAAAAAGTTCGGAGGGGACGGCCA